ACCTGGGTTGTTAGGTTTGTGGATTTTAGGTAAAAAGTAAATACACGAAGTTCTGGGAGTGGTGATGGTGAGATTTTTGTGGCCGGCTATTCTTGTTTAGCTACAAGATCGTTAATCGCATTTTTGACAATGTTTTGGTTAATTAAAGTGAGATCTTTGTCGACTTAAGCATAAAAGGAGGTGTGGGAAAGTTGCCGCAAAGCTTCTTTTTGGTAGAGGTCGGCCCGCCAAACAACAACTGCGCCGCCTTTGTCGGCCGCTTTAATGACTATGTCTTTGCGTTTTTTAGACTTTTTAGTAAGTCAGTCGTTTCTTTAGTTTTTGCTAGCGCCGTGTTAGTTTTGTTTAAGAGTTTTACTACCGAACCTGGTTACGCCACAAATTGTAAGTTCGTTTCTATTTCATGTAGCTTTGTCATTATCCTTGTTGTTGTTTGCATCAGTTATTTATTTTCAGTCGAATCACATTTACACATCAACACATCTTTACATGTAAATATTTGTCTATTTGGAAGTGAGATTAAACGTGCATTCATGTTGTGGCGCAAAACATGTGGTAGTTAGCTAAAAGAGCACAAAAGCTTCATGACATTTTATCAAATGGCGACGTATGTTTTCCTTTTTTAACACGAAATAAAGAAATCCAAGGGACATTAGTTATTATTAAACTTTAAAATTAAGCAGTGTCAGCTGGCTTATGGAAGTCCAGCCATTCATCAAACGAACTCCGATTTTTTTTGCACTTAAGCTCCTAAAGTTTGGACGGAATTCAAATAAAATTATAAAAGAAAAAATTAAGACTTCCAACTTACCTGAGACGCGGTTTGGAGCTTGTGCGATGTTGTGCGGCCGTGCTTAACATGAATGTCCGTAAAAAACCTTCCAATTCCTTAAAAAGACTAACATATTGGAACAGGAAGTTGTTCGTAAAGAGTGCGATGTTAAATGTTCGTTAAGGATAAGGATCAATATGGATATAATTAACCACTTTCTATTTGGAGAAATACTCAAAGAAGTGAAATAATTATGGCTCATCCATCTTCAGTAGAATTACCGCGGTATTTTGACCAAAGTTCCGCTTTTAACACTTTACACGTCTTTAATATTCTTTACGCATCTTTACTCACTGTTCTTTAAGAACCTTTAACATTTTTTTAACATTCTTTACGCACAATCAATCTTTACGAGCCGTTAATTCTATTTACGAATCTTTAGTGTTCCTCAACGACCATTAACTTTTCCTTCGCACAATCAGTCTTACGTGATTTTAATTCTCTCTCCGTATCTGTATTCTGTCTTTTACATCGGTTCTAAAGGCCCTAGCAAACGGCTTCAACATTTGCTTCAACATCCTTTCGATTTTGTTGAATGGCAATGTTGAAAGCTTTTGCCACCCCCTTTCCGCCATGTTGAAACCTGTTGAAACGTGTTGAAGCGAAGTTGAATGTTGAAAGAGTTTAAAGCCTTTAAACTTTGCTTCAACATCCGTTCAACATTTCTTTTGGTCTCTGGAATGTTCGGAATGTTGAAGCGGAGTTGAAGTCGTTTGCCCTGCTCTT